TTGATTAAAACTCAATCGGGACTTCTATTTCTATAACGTCTAATGATCTAATCCGTACAGTACTTCCACAAGTAAGGATCATCCCAAGCATAATATCTAGCCTCTTTCTTGATTCTCTCTCTTTACTCTGGACAACCCATCTGCAAGTGTATTAGTAACTAAACAGTTAATGATATTAGCGTACCATGGTGTTGATTAATAAACTGAGAAGAGATACTCATTCGAAAAATCATCTTTTAGTGGCAATGGCTCTTCACTTAGTGGTAGACATCTGAGGTGGTCGAAAACGAGATTCTTTAAACCCTCTTTATCCCATATTTCCAAGTCAAACTCCTATAGCATGAGTATCCATCATATTAGTCTCGGTTTTGCCTCTATTTTTTAGTAAATACTTAAAAGCTGCATGGTCTGAAACACAATCACTTTAGTACTGAGCAAATAAGAACAATTTTTTTCCAAGGAAAATACGATAGCCAAAAGTTCCTTTTCTATGCTTGACTAATTAATCTGAGCATTGTCAAGAGTTCTTGAGGCATAGTAGATCACATGAGGGTCCCTACCTATCCTTTACCCAAGGACTATACCCATGGCTTGGTTACTAGCATCACATATAATCTCAAAAGGCAACTCCCAATTTTGTGGCTGTATGATTGGTGTTGACACCAACTTCCCCTTGAGTATATCAAATGCCTCCTTGCAGGATGCATCAGATTTGAACACCACTTCTTTTTGCAACAGTTGGTATAGAGGTTGGGTAATCTTGGAGAAGTCTTTGATGAAGCATCAATAGAACCCTGCATGTCCAAGAAAATATCACATTTCTCATACACTCACGGGGTAAAGTAGGAATTTAATCACATCAATCTTTGCCTTGTCTATCTCTATTCTTTTTTAAGACACCATATATCATAAGATTTATCCCTAATCTACCATAAAATGGCATTTTTTATTGTTTAAAATAATGTTACACTCAAGGCACAGCTTAAGTACTTTTGTGAGGTTGATGAGGCATTCATCAAAGGAATTACCATGGACCGTGAAATCATCCATAAATACCTCTATTATACTCTCCACAAATCAAAAGAAATTACTGACCATGCACCTCTGGAATGATGTTGGGGCATTACAGAGGCTGAATGACATCCTCCTGTAGGCAAAAATGCCAAATAGACAAGTGAAAGTTGTCTTTTCTTGATCTTCGGGGGCCACAAAGATTTGGTAAAAACCTGAATAACCATTAATACAACAGTAATGTGTTCGGTTGGCCAAACGTTCCAGCATCTGATCAATGGAATGAAGGGGGAAGTGATTTATTTTTGTTGATGCATTTATTTTTTTGTAGTCTATACAAACCTTCTAGCCATTCTGTACTCTAATGGATACCATGGTACTCACTGTCATGGTTTTCAACCACTACTCATGTTTTCTTTAGCACCACCTACAATGGGCTTACCCATTTACTGTCTGAAATCATATAGATTACTCCAACATCAAGAAATTTTAAGATTTTTTTCTTCATAACCTCTATCATGAGTGGGTTCAAGCATCTCTGAGCTTGTCTACTCGGTTTGTTTTTGTCTTCCAGTAGTATCTTATGCATGCACATAGAAGGTGATATCCCCTTTATATCAGCTATGGTTTATCCAACTACTTCCTTATGCTCCCAAAGCACTCTAATTAACTTGTCATCATATTTTATTCTGCTTAATTTATTGGAAATTATTACCAAAAAGGTCTCTCTTTCTCCCAATAATACATACTTTAGATGTTCGTGCAATGGTTTCAACTCAAACTTCGATGCCTATAAAATAGAAGATGAAAGCTGCATGTGAGAAATAAGGAGATCAATATTTGGTGATTACCCTTTTGTAGTTTAAGCGCCTCCAATTCGAACACTGTTTCTTGCATATTCCTCTCAACAAAAAAATCTTCTTCTAAAGTCCTTAAGTTATCCACATTCAAATCATTACAAACCATAACGTTTAACTCATCATCATGGCATCATAATAAATCACTAGGGTATTTCATGGCATCATAAATATTAAATTTTACAACTTTTCCATCGAACTCCATGGTGAGGGTATCATCTTGTACATCTATCTTTGTCTTGGTTGTATTAAGGAAAGGCCTATTTAGCGAAATATTAGAAGAGATAGAGGATTTTTCATCTTCCATGTATAATAATAAAAGTCAACTGGGAAAATAATATTGTCTAGTTGGACCAGTACAACCTCTAGAACCCCCTCAAAGTAGACAACTGACCTATCAATTAGTTGGATGATGACACCAGCTTTTTTCAATGGACCAATATTTAGCTTAGAATAAATAGACAATGGCATTACATTTATTAAGGCTCCTAAATCACACAAGGCCTTCTTTATACCTAAGGTATCTATTTTGCAAGAGATAGCAAACATATATGGGTCCTTGCACTTGGGGGTAGTTTTCTCTAAATTATAGCTGAGACATTCTCCCCCATACTTACTTTTTCATTATAGCTCAACTTCTTTTTGTTGGTGCATAGTTCTTTTAAAAATTTGGCATACTAAGATACCTATTTAATTACATCAAGTAAAGAGATGTTTACTTCAAACTTGTAAAAGGTTTTCAAGATTTCTTTATCATTCTTCTCTTTCTTTGATTTTGCAAACCTTTCTAGGAAAGGTAGACTGATTGTAAATGGCGTTGGCTATTCAGAATCGGGCTTTGTTCTAGCTTTGTGCTTTTTCATAAGCCTTGCCCAAAGGTCACCTGACGAGAATTTTTTAATAGCTCTTTGACACTTCACAGTGTGACAGCACTCACATTGGGTCTTGGGTTTACTTCTGTTTGAGATGGCAATTTCCCTTGGGATTCCAACTTACTCATGGACATTGCTAACTAGTTTACTTGTGTTACTCATGGAGGTGTCGATTGTTGTTGTAGAGATGGTTTTGGCTGGTACTATTGGAAGTTTTGTTCTCTTACTCCATAATTGAAGTTAGGATGATCCCTCCATCTTGGGTTATAAATGTTGGAGAAAAAATCATATTTTTTTGTGGTTAGTTTGGGAATTCTCCTATCGCATTAACATCTTGTTGGTCATCTTCTTGCAGTGTAGGGCACATGTTCGTAGGATGTCCAAAATGTGCACAAATTCCACAGACTAAGTTTGCTGAGTGTTACCTGTAACCATGTTTTGTACCAAAGTGTTTAGTTGTGAAATTTGAGATTCAATAGAAGATATACTTACCTTGTTCATCCTTCTTGAAGTGTCTCGTGTGGTTCCAAATTATTGTGAATTGGCAGCCATAATTGCTATAAGATCTTTAGCATGTCGAGGCATCTTATTCACTATGCCTCTGCCACTAGTTGTGCCTAACATCCTTCTTTTTGTGGGCAGCAATCCTCCATAGAAGTAGTGTATGAGGGACTGTTCTGAGATATCATATTGTGAGCAGCTTGCGCATAGTCTCTTAAATCTTTTCCAATAATAATGGAGACTCTCTTAGTCTTTTTGCTTGATTCTGCATATCTCCCTCCTCATCCTAATAACTCTAGAAATAGGGAAAAATTTGTCTAAGAATAACTTCACCATGTATGTCTATGTGGTGATTGAGTTAGAATGCAAGTAGAATAATCGATCCTTAGCTGCATCATCCAAAGAAAAGGGGAATGCCCTCAGTTTAATCTATTTTTTAGTCACTACTTGTAGTTTCATGCTTGAGCACACGACATAGAATTTTTTTGAGGTGTTTATATGAGTTTTCATTCTCCAATCCTTAAAACTTGGGCAGCAAGTGAATCACCCATATTTTAGTTCAAATGTTATGTCCATATTCAAATAAGTGATGTAGAGAGGCTGTTGATTTATAGGCAATGCTACCAGCTCTCTCAATGTGCACTCATCGGCCATCTATCCCGTTTCTGCTTCAGGTTCGGTAGTTATATTGTTATTTTCAAAAACTGTATCTTACTAACACGCTTTCTTTTTTAGCTTAGTATGTTTTCTTAAGCTTTTGGTAGTCTTATCAATTTTTGGGTCGTAAAGAAAAATTTCATCACAATCAGACCTGATCATAAAAAGAAAATAATTAAATTGTTTATCTTAACTCCCCGGTAATGATGCTAAAATTTGATGGATGTTGAATCTATCAAAAATAAATTTCTATTCAAATGACAAAGTACTATTGCAGCTATGGTGAGTAGGGTCGAGTCCATAGGGAATTGAGAACCAATATTCTTTTATGGCCAGTGATAAAAGAAAAAGTTGGGAGGTTTTATTTTGTGACAAAGCGATTAAATAATTTAGCAAACCTTAAAGCAATTAGAGCAAAAAATAATTCAGTAAAATAATGAAGTAAAATCAGTTATGAATGAGTTCTAGCTAAAGAAGTAATATCGGTTTCAACTTACAGGATTGATCATTGATGCAAAGATAATTCTTACCAACTTTCAATAAATCGATTCTAGTTGTTAGAGATGCTTCTATAAATCAGTCATTTCTTAATCCTATATTAACCAAGAGATGTTCGTTGATTAACCTTTACTAATAAACAACAATGGAGACGCTCCTAGAATTTAGTTTACTAACAGTATTAAAAAGTAAAAAGACCCGATTATAACTAACAAACTCAACAGTGCAGTTCATTCAAAATAGATTTTATATCCTCTTAGTGTGACACTAATTTACCACTAGCATCAAGACAATCTGAACAATTACAGATTAAGAAATCTTGAATGACAATATGCTATCATGCTACATGAACAACAACACTGTTGAACCGATAATAAATAATAATGTTTGTATGGCAACAAGATATAAAAATACTGAAGTTAAATAAGAATAAAACAAAACAATTCAATCTCATAATCCTGAAGCTGAAACTTCAATTCAATCTCTAACAAGAAATTGTAACATTTAGCCTCTCATGTTGAGCATAACACACCAGTAAATTATTGTAGGATCAACTAAAGAAACTATAGAAAAGACAATTGAGAAGGACGAAGTCTGCTTGCTATTTTCAGTCTAATGTTCTTTTCTGTTTTGCTTCCTATTTAAAAGCCGAGGGTGGATTAGGGTTTCCCTTGTGGAGATAGAGATTTCTTTGATGATTTCGGCCACTCTTTCTATTTTTTAAAATTGCCCCTGCTTTATTCAGTTTCCCACTTCTAAGTAAAAATGGTACTCTCTTTGAATTTAAAGGAATGTCAAAACACCAGTATATGCTGCTACCGCTAGAGTACAAGCCTTGCCAAAAGCTTGACCATGCACGAATTGGTCTCTACTACCACTGCTAAGGTGCAACTCCTGCCTAAGGCTTGAGCATTTGTAACGACTCTGTGCGCTAAATCAATTCTACTACACTATTTTTGAGATATTGAATCCTATCTTCTCACCTGCATTAAAAATTAGTAAAATTCCTTAA